TGAAGGAGAATGCGGTGGTCCAAGGTAGACAACGTCGGCTCCAACTCTGCAATGGTCTGACTCTGTCCAGCTTGCTCGGACTAGCAGCACATTTTTAGTGCATGATCTATTTCAGCGGAATCCGTGTTGCCGTTACACTTGATGTTGTTATTCTCAAGACATCCCATCGCGCCACTGCAATTATAGGTTCTGTTAATTTACATAAAACTGGGAGGAGAGTGGTTGGACGGTAGTTCGAAGGCTTAGGACGATTACCACTTTTATGCATAATAGTGACTACTACAGGTTTCCACATTTTGGGAACCTGCATTTCGTCGAGACAACGTTGAAAGAATCTAGGTAATGGTTCGGCAAGATTCCTGGCCGCTGTCTTAATTGTCTTCGTTTTGACGTCTTCCACGCCGGGTGAGCTGTGCACGCGCAATGACATTAGCGTTTTCATCACATTGGCTGCCGTGAACGATACGTAGTTTAACCCTTTTGTCGATAGAAGCTGTGTCAAAAGCAGATGAGATAATGCTTCACTCCGGAAGGTATGGATGAAGTGTTGGCCAAGCACATTGGCTGCATCTTGTGCGGTTTGCGCCAGACCATCTGTCGCAAGTAAAACTGGGATCCCAGCTTCTAGGAAAACACCTTCGCGAGCGAAGACAGTAAAATCATTCATACGCAGCAGGATACGCGTGTGTATCGTCACGAGGAATTTAATCTGGCGAAGATACAAGGAGTCATCGAGTGCCGAAATATGGGAAGCCTACACTATCCAAAGGAATCACTGCGTAAACCTGGTAGACGAAGATAAAATACAGCACCAGCAGAATCTAGCCGAGAAATTCCTTTCAAACCCCAAACTTCTGTACAGACACGTTAACAAGCTCCACAAAGTGCAGCGAGGAATTTCTGCTTTACACACATTGTGTGGACTTGCACAAAATTAACCGAGGCGGCCAACGCCCTATGGCAACAATTCACCCCAAACTTCCAGAGCACGACATCGCCGCATACACTGTTCCCAATCGTTGTACCACCACCAGGACTTAGCCACATCACGTTTACGACTGCGGATGTTTTGAAAAGGCTAATTGCCCTGCGCCAGCATACCTCTCCCGGTGTTGATACTATTCGTCCAAAAGCGTTGAAATTGGCTGCAGTAAACCTGGCGGACCCCCTCTGCAAGTTCTTCCAACGATGCCTCGATGAAATACGCGTGCCAACAATGTGGAAGCAAGGCATCGTCACTCCCATCCATAAGGGGGGAAGTCGTACAGATCCGGCCAAATATCGAACGATAACACTATCTCCGGTGCTCTCCAAAATCATGGAAGCGATTGTTTCCGAAGCGCTGATGAGCTTCTTGGAAGAACGCACTATCATAGCACAAGAACAACATGGGTTTCGCAAGAACCGATCTTGCACTTCAAACTTGCTGCTTGCCAGATCCAGTTGGACTGAGACCGTTGACAGCAGCATAGGTGTTGACGCAGTATATCTGGAGTTCTCAAAGGCTTTCGACCGTCTGAACCACCGTATCCTCCTTCACAAGCTGCAGTGTTGTGGAATTTGTGAACCAATCCACGGTTGGATAGCTAACTTCTTACTTCAACGACATCTGAATGTAAGAGTTCGCGGCGTCATCTATGACCCAATAGACGTTAAGTGCGGAGTGCCCCAGGGCTCAGTACTTGGTCCACAACCATTCCTGATTTACATAAATGATCTCGCGACAGTAATCACCCCCAACTCCTTACTCTTCGCTGATGATCTCAAGGTATGGCGAGACATTAGAACAACCAGCGACAATGCAGCACTTCAGGATGATCTGGACAGGGTCTACCAATGGTCGACTCAGAACCTGATTCAGTTCAACGCTACAAAGTGCAAGGTGTTGAGCATACGCCATAAAGCCACTTGCGAATACAGACTGGGGGATCAAATATTGTAGCGTACTACAACGGAATGCGATCTAGAAGTAGTAGTGCAGGAAGATCTGGACTGTTCCCCTCAGGCCGAGAAAGCCTCCAAAAAGCTAACAAACACCTTGGCCTTTGGCGGAGGGCATTCGGGTGCTTCGATCCTTCCATCTTTTCTCAGATGCTCAACGACTACATTCGGCCTCATTCTGAGTACGCCATCCACGCCTGGCAGCCATGACAAAAGCAAGACCTTACCGCTGTTGAACTGCCACAACGAAGGGCGACCAAGAACGTAAAGAGTCTGTTTCACCTCCCTTACCAATTGAGGCTGAAAACCCTCAGGGTATACAGTGGACAATATCGACGCCTGCGTGGCGACTTGATAATGACTTATATGATCCTGAGGAATCCAAACCATTCTTGTAGTCACCTACTAAAGCTGAATAGCAATACAACACTCAGAGGACACCAGCTAAAGCTGGCCACACAATACAGCCGGTTGGAATGCCGCCGGAATTTCTTTTCCCTTCGTGTATGCGAACACTGGAACGCTCATCCCACATACGTCGTTTCTTCCCCCACGTTAACGGTATTCAAAAGACATCTGGATGATTGCCTTATCCACCTACATTACGCTATGTAATCAGAGATGTCCACGTCAAACAAACGCGAAGAAAACGGTGCTCATTCTCAGCTTTTGTGCTTCACTATTTGCAGACTGCTGTTGTGGAAAATAGTTTCGGATATATTAAAACTGCATTCATCAAGTTACCTCATTCTAAGAAAGCGGCGCACGAGTAAGCGATGGTCGTTTCTCTTGTTCTTACAACATGCCTTACCCATATTATTTCCCATATTGCTCTACAGTAACAATTCAGTACACATTCTACAACGTTTCTATGAATAAGCGGCACTTGTTTTCACTAGACGCTTAAACTGACGATTTACACTTATGTTTATTTTCACTTCAACCATCCTACGGGACTTGTGGAGCTTTTTACCTGTAATATATCATTGTTCATTGCATTCTGCAGAGGTTGTTGATGTCGTTATACAACAACTTGGGATTTATCCTAAATTTCCCTGCTAAGTCCTGTTGATGCTGGAGTTTGTTTTCGCGGATCAACTTAACGCAATAGTTTCGTTGAGCTGTGTAAGCACCCCAGATCCGGTTACTTGGTCAGACTTAGTAAGCCCGCGAATTTGAATCGCTTAAGACTATGCATTTTCTAGTACTGCTGCTCAGGAACGAATTCATTTGCTTCGGGCGAAGGACCTTGTTTTCTGACGCGTTTGCCACTAGCTCAGTGAATTGGGTGACGAACAACATTCAAGCGACATCGGGCGACTTCTCGGCCAGGAAGGAGCAGTCGGTTTCTTGAACGAGGTTGGACAGGATATCGTAATGTGTAACAACGTGGGTTTCCACCTTGTTCTCACTGATGTATTCCGAGTAACAGATGAAACGAAAGAGAAACATCGTGTGATCGACATGGCCAAGTGGTACATCTATGGTCACAGTGTCGACCATTAGTTCCTCGTTGGAGAGTACAAGGTCCAAAACTGATAGTGTGTCCGAAATCGCGTGATAGGGGTAACATGGTTGTACAGGGGTAGATCGGCGATCACCTCTTTCAAACAAGCCTTGAATTTTTCGCTGTAGGATGCTGGAATTTCGATTGCGTGCAGGTTGAATTTAACCAGAAGGACGTAACTGTATGGTCGTGCCAGGATTCGTTGCAACCTAGAAGCTAGATATTGATCCATTTCCAAAGTGGACCTTGGGGGGCGGTAAACTATTGCTACTAGACACACATCAGAAGGCCTTAGGTGCATAGGACATCAAAGAGAATCAAAGACTTTCGTTTCTGGGTCCTCAATTATAACAACATGCAGATCGGATCGATAATACAGGAGCACTCCCCCTCCTCTCCTAGGTCGATTGTTTCGTATGGAAGTCATTCCGGGTAGCGCAATCTTAGCATCCGTGATCTCCGTGTTCAGCCATGCTTCAGTGACCATAACTAGGTCACAAGGCGTGGAGACCTGACGAATACGAAGTTCGGTTAGCTTGCTGAGAAGACCATGTGCACTAATATA